TCATAGTCTTCTTACGACTACCCAGGAAGATTCATAAAAGGTGCTTTTTCCCCTGGCCAGCTGACTGCCTTCATCGCCTGACAAGCACATTTATTTCTAGGATGATGGACCCTTTGGTGGATTTTTACATCTGTATTAACATTACGAATGGTGGTAACTTTCTAGAAAATATATTTAGGTACAGCCCTGGAACATGAATAGGAAAGGGACTTGAATATTAAGTGTGGACAATAAAATGCACACGTATATTTTTCTAGTTTACGACCTTTCTTAAACTGTCTAAATAATAACAGCCATTTGATCTGTTTGGATATCTTTGGGTTAAGAAATGATTTATTTTTGCAATATGTGAAATGAGCTTCATTTGATTGCCCACGGGGAGAGTCTTTTTCTATGTTTAAAAATGTCCTGAAAGAGGGCCTCCCCGGTGGCGCAGCGGTTGAGCGCTGGGTTGCGAAACTGCCCGCGGCCTCTGCAGCGCCGGTTCGATCCCCGGCTGCTCTCCGGCCACCAGAGGAGGGTCCCACATGGCGCGCAGACCTCTCCTGCCGCCCGCTGCTCCCCTCAGCAGTGGACTTCGGTCCTTCTGCCTGCTCTGCTCCCCGCTCTGGCTCTGGTGAATCCTCTCACCCTCCCGTGCTTCTGACTGTACCCAGTGCTTGTAAAAATAAACAAACAAATAAATAACTAAATCTTAAAAAAAAAAAAGTAACATACCATCACTTAAAAAAAAAAAAAATGCCCTGAAAGAGATGCGTGCCTGAGGAGAATGAGAGAAGGAACCCTAATATTTCTCAGACTCTAACAGGGACAGTGAGTACCTGTGAAACAATAAACGTCCCGGCTTAAACACTGAGCTGCTCTCCCTGCTGTCTTTGAACAGTCCTCCAAGAGAAAAAGCTATAGAAATGTGATCTGGGGTCTCCCTGCTGGCGCAGGGGGATAAGCACAGCACTGTGAATCTGTCCACAGCCTCTGCAGCATGGGTTCCATCCCCGGCCAGCCAGGGAGCTACCCACACGGCGCAGCAGACCTCTCCTGTCTCCCCGCTGCTCCCCTCAGCAGTAGATTTCAGTCAGTCTGCCTGTTCTGTTCCCCACTCTGTCTCTCGTGAATCCTCTCACCCCCCACACCTCTGGCCTGTACCCCAGCTCTTGTATGCATAAATAAATCTTAAGGAAAAAAAAAAAAAAGAAATGTCATCTGATGCCAGCCACAGGACTGTGGAACATTCCTAAATTTGAATAAAGGGAGATGGGAAAAGTGGATTTGGGGAAGTTTCTAATAATGAATGCAAAGAGGTTTTCTCCTAAAGCATCAAACCTGACCACCCTCTTACTGCTTGTGTTCTTCAGTTGCTTAAAACCCACAGTCACGGCAGCACACCAAGCCCCAGAGACAGCGCCCGGCAAGTGAGGGCCGGCGCACACTGGCGACTCCCGCCTCGTGGAGGAAAAACAATTGAACAGGATGAGGGAGAGACACAAGGTCATCCTCTGCATTTCTTGCCAGACTTGCCGGAGAGGCACAAGAAGCAGCACCCAGAAGCTTCCGCCAACTCCCCAGAGTTTTCTAAGAAGCGCCACGGGGTGGAGACTGTGCTAAGGAGAAAGGAAAGTGTGAGGACATGCGAAGGCGGACAAGGGCCGCTAAGAAAGAGAAATGGAAACTTACATTCCCACAAAGGGGAAACAAGAGTTCAAGGACCCCAGGGCGTCCAAGAGGCCTCCCTCAGCCTTGCCCTTGTTGTGTTCTGAGTATCGCTCCCACAGCACACGAGACCATCCTGGTCTGTCCCTTGGTGCCGTTGCAGAGAGACCGGCAGAGACTCACGCGCTGCAGGTGACAGCAGCCTTGTGAGGAGGCCGCCAAGCTGAAGGAAAATGCAGAAAGAACTTTGCTGCTTAGCAGGCCAAAGGAAAGCCTGACACAGCCCAAAAAGGTGGGAGAAAGGCAGGGAAAAAGAAAGAAAAAGCAGGAAGAGGAGGCTCGTGATGATGAATGAGGCGGCTGCAGGGTTTTTTTCTTGCCTAGAAAGCATTTAAGCCCCCTGTGCATTCCTTTCAAAGAAGAAAATTGAGGGCCTCCTTGGTGGCGCAAGGAGTTAAGCACCACACTATGAAGCTGTCCGCAGCCTCTGCAGCACGAGTGCAGTCCCCACCGGCCAGGGAGCTACCCACATGGCACAGCAGACCTCTCCTGTCTCACCCGCTGCTCCCCTCAGCAGAGTAGTTCAGTCAATCCGCCTGTTCTGCTCCCCACTGTCTCTGGTGAATCCTCTCACCCCCCTCATCTCTGGCCTGTACCCCAGGTCTTGTATGCATAAATAAATGAATCTTAAAAAAATAAGAAGAAAAGTGAAATGTGAGGGTGTGTAAGATTATCTTCTCAACGGTAGTGTCTTTTTTATATGGTTAACACACAACAGATGTGCCGGGAGACAGCCCTGTCCTGGTGGTATTTCCAGCAGCCACTAACCTTGCCCAGGACAGGCGGGAATTGTAAGCTGGCCCGAAATCTAAGCAGGTTCTTACTGGTCCACATCACACATTAGTTGTACGTGGGGAAGGTAGTTTTTCATCTTCAGTTCTCTCTGATGCAATTTCTATGAAATAACTGTTGTTCTGCTGAGTATCACTCTCTAATTGCAAAAAAAATAGTTGCAGGACCTCCCCGGTGGTGCAGCGGTTGAGCGCTGGGTTGCAAAGCTGCCAGCAGCCTCTGCAGCGCCGGTTCGATCCCCGGCCGCCGGCGAGGGTCCCACATGGCGCGCAGACCTCTCCTGCCGCCCGCTGCTCCCCTCAGCAGTGTATTTCGTCAGTCTGCCTGTTCTGCTCCCTGCTCTGGCTCTGGTGAATCCTCTCACCCTCCCGCGCTTCTGACTGTACCCAGTGCTTGTATAAATAAATAAATAAATCTTAAAAAAAAAAAAAATAGTTGCAGCTGTTTTGTTGACATTCTGAATGCTATCAACAATACAATTTTCTGGGGCCTCCCCTGGTGGCGCAGCGGTTGAGCGCTGGGCTGTGAAGCTGCCTGCAGCCTCTGCAGCACCGGTTTGATCCCCGGCTGCTCCCCGGCCACCGGAGGAGGGTCCCACATGGCGCGCAGACCTCTCCTGCCGCCCGCTGCTCCCCTCAGCAGTGTACTTCGGTCCTTCTGCCTGCTCTGCTCCCCGCTCTGGCTCTGGTGGATTCTCTCACCCTCCCGCGCTTCTGACTGTACCCAGTGCTTGTATAAATAAATAAAATAAAAATTAAAAAAAAATACAATTTTCTAATTAAAATAATTTGCTTAAGACACAAATTGCTTTGGGTAAAAGTGATCACCTATGTGCAATTATCTGTGCAGAGGCCATTATAAAACAGCTATTTGGGCCATTTTTCACCCTCTATGAAGAATTTATTAACCACAAAGAAATTCTTTAAGGCCACCCACCTCATCTGCATGAGACCTTGGTATTGGAATTCCAGCACTAGGTGAGGGTATACTGGTAAAACCAAACCCCCATCAAGGGTAGTAATTGTGTAAATACCAAGCAACTTTGGTTTGTCAGTCACCTAACACTATTTAAAACCAGCTCAAAATGATTTCTGTCCTCGGAGAACGTGACTCTTGAAAGCTTTCCTTTGCCACAGACGAAAGGCAGGGATGGACTGTGGCTATTAAATATTCACACTGCTTCACAAGGAGGCTTGCCCAGTTTTCAGGGGAGGGTAAGGAGGCTTCCGAAGAGGGAATTCTTGCAGTGGACAAAGCACTTGCCTCTGCCCTTAGACATAGTGCCTTGGGATTTAAAAGATTATGCTCCTAACAGGTGGGAGGGAGCTGGTTGTACATCTTTCATCAGAAATGCACGTCGCAGTAAGTGCTAAGAGCGTTCAGTGCTGCGGGGACAACCTCACTTTTGTTTGCTTGCTATTCTTTCTCCTCCCACCCTATCTGCTGAAGAGCACTCCACCCTTCCTATTTCTTTCTAATAAAGAGCCAAAATCATACGCTCTTATGTGCTCTAGAATGTCCACATTCACCCCCAAAACCATGCTGCTCCTTTTTTTCAGGGGGTAGGAGGAAGGCGTGGGGCGGTGAGAATGAGGTACCGATGGCAAAACGCATGGATTGCACACTGAGTTTCAAAAGAGTAGAGGGAAAAGGACTTTTGTTATTTCTATACGAAATTTAGTAAGAGAGTCAAGGAAGGTTATGTTTCCCCCATAGGTTCCCACGTTTGGGTTTCTTGGAGTTTTTTCTTACTGCAATACTGTGAAGTACAAAAAATATATTCCCACCTCGCTGGACAGGGTCAAACACAAAGATTGGATTGAATGGCTTAGAGCTGTGACTCTTTTACCCAGTCTTCTCCAATATTCTCCTTATTTAATAGAAAATATTATAATCAAAGTGATATAATTACAATTAACTTTACAGAAAATGTTGTATGATGGGGGCCTCCCTGGTGGTGCAGGGGTTAAAACCTCAGTGCTGCCAAGCTATCACCAGTCACTGCGGCATGTGGGTCACTGAGTCCAAGGAGGTGACCCACATGGCGCAGCAGACCTCTCCTGTCTTCCCGCTGCTCCCCTCAGCAGTGTATTTCAGTAGCTCCACCTGTTATGCTCCCCACTCTGTCTCTGGTGAATCTGCTCATGCTTCCCCCGCACCTGTGCACCTCTGTCCTACACCCCAGTTCTTGTATGCATAAATAAAAAAATAAATAAATCTTTAAAAAAAGAGAAAATGTTGTATAATCAGTAACTGCAGAAAGCTAAGGTATGAGTCCCAGGAACTACTTTTAACCCACATGGTAAAATGCACAATCAATAGGGCCTTGACATTTAATCCTCTCTCAGTCCTTCAACAAATAGAAAGGAATGAGTCTTCTAATATAGAAAATGACAGTGATCCAGTGCACGAGACTGGAAGGCTGAACTCTGTATGTCGCTCCCTGTCTAGATGCTTCGCTATACAAACTCAGTGGTACAAAGATGTGCTAAGTTACAAAGCCAAATAAAGGACTAGCGACCAAAATGAGTTTCAATTTTTATTATGAATGTCCCAAGTGACAGCATACTGTGAAAATGTGAGGTTCTCATGATTAAATTTCAAGAGACCACAGATGACAGCATTCCAACACTTTAATTTGTGACAGAGCCAAAACAATTAAAAGAATGATAAAAATATTCTTTTCGGTGTAGAGAGTGCTCATCTTTGAGTTTCGTAATTTTTTCTCCCTGCAGGTATTGTGAACACTGATTATTTCCAAAACACAAATCCTGGTGTGGATCCTTGCAACAGACTTTTATAATCTCTGCCTGAATAAGAAGCGAATAAGAAATGTACTTATAAAGTATGTTTACGATACAATGTAATATTCCCGTTCATTGTCATTTCCTTCCTCTCCCACAGGCTTCTCACCTGCCCTGGGCACCTGCCGTTTGTAATAACAGGAGACCAAAGGGGGGAGTGAAATACCCGAAGATTACATTGAACCCTGGCTTTTTTCAAAGCTGCATTTTTTTTTTTTAAATGAAAGCTTAAGACTTTCAGTGTTTGAGAGTATCCAGGAGATGACTAATTCTAATGGGCTGACATCAGCAGTCAAGAGCTATGCATGTTATGTTCAGGGGGAAAAAAACCCTTGGTTTACTAAAGCTAGGGTTCTAGTCATCTGCAGTTCCAACACAACTTGACTTCTTTCCTCTGCAGGGTTTCCTTGCCATCCGTCCTTCCCATCACTGGCACTGGTACTGGGTGATGCTACGGATGGAGCTGGTTGCCATTTACATTCCAATCAGTTCTGGTCCCGTGGCAGTGCATATCTCTGACAGATGCAATACTGTTCATCTGAGTGGATCCTCAAAAAGAACAATTATGAACTAGAAACTCATAGAGTTTGTGTTTAAAATTTATAAAATTAAACCTGCTCCAACAGGTAATACAGGGAGGCATGCTTGCAACCTCTGGATTCAATCAGAAACAATGCCTGAGAGCACAGAGCTTTCACAATAGGTAACGGCGGGTTCCTTTAAACGCTTCCTTAACCAAGATCCGATGTGATGCACATTAGAACCTTGAAGCACGTCTCATTTATTTCTACAAGGCCTGGGACACAGGAACTGCCAGGACTTCATTCATCATCTTGCCTGTTGACAAAAGGAACAATAACTGGTCATCACTGGTTAATGGAATAACTTTTCCTAGTTGTTTTTTTTTTTCCCCCAAGATAATTCCTAAAGAAGAGATGGTGTCAATACAAACACGTTTCAATGTTTGATGAATTTCTGTGCTTTAAAATGCCACGTCTTTCTCCTTCCAGGATTGCAGGAAGAACCAGCGTATGCAGTCATCATTGCGCCCCTTGTCCTGGAATGATTTAGGGGAAAACCCCCTTCTGGAGCTCAGGACACCTGGCCCAGAAGCAATTCCACCAGCCACTAACCAGTCCTGTTACTTCCTGTGCAGACTCTGAGGAGCTAATAATGGATAGGGTCTCAAAAGAAGGTTGCACGACTCACTTTTAATGAGTGCACATGGTGCTAACTCACGGCTCCTGAAGAGCACGCCCAGGTAAGACCAACTCGGCTGTGGTGAAGGTGAGACTTACAGGACACCCATGCTGGGGTCTATGGTCTTGGCGCAGCTTTGCCTTAAGACCCACAGAGCTTCCAGAAGTCTCAAAATATCTACTAGCATCTAGAGTAGTAAAATCTTCTTAAATAATAATATGATTTAAGCTATGTGGGTGTAAAATTCTGAAAACACACATTTCCACATGTTGCACATTTTTGGCTGTCTTAGAGTCTAAGATGTGTCTTCTGGGAGAACCTGCTGCTTTTCTTAATTTAAGAAATAATTACATGAAAGCCGGAAAGTACATGAGTAATTACAACGCAGAAGCATTCTGGAAAAGCACATATGTAGCCCTAGACTCCAACTCGCTGGACTAGTTTAAGTCAGTATGTCAAGTGGCCTTATCAAGACACACATCTGGAAATAAGCGGGTGGGGTCGAAACATAGCAAGCATGGCCCTAAAACTGGTGACTTGAACCACCACGCAAACCACCTGCCCAGGTATTCTTAAGAGGATAACAAACTGGGCTAGAAAGTTCTTTTCACAGCTGCCAAAGGTAACACCAGGAATTAGATTGCACGTTGGAAATTTTGAGAATTAGTTCTTATTATTAACAAAATTACAAGCCTCACTCTTTGGAAAGATTGCTCTGAGCAATGCTGATTTGCTCCTTATGCCTCTGTGGCTGGTGAGAAGCGGATGCTGCCCGACCCTCGCCACCGTCTGTGGCTTCCCGCAGCCCGACGCCATCCTGCGTCTGACAATGAACAGGGCTGCAGAGTTGTTTCAACCGTTGCTGTGGTTTTGGCATGAGGGGAGAGAGGTACGACTTTGTGAAACATGGGGAGCAGCCAAGTGAAACAAAACTGATACCTAGATGTCATCTGTTCCTTTGGAGGATTCAAAGCGTTTTGGGACTGAGCTTATTCTTCAAGGCTGATTTCGAAGCTACTCAAGAAAGAAAAAGACAATGACAACTTAAGCCTAGTCATTTGACTCTCAAGAGCTGCGCAGTTCCTGAGCCTTCCTCCTAGACCACGACTTCTGCCAGGTGGTGACAGGACGGGGCTGCTGCCCAGAGCAAATCACATTTGTGTGGTCTGGAGCTCCGGGGCCACCTTGGGTGCCCAAAAGGAGAATGACCCAGATTTATTCCAACTGGGGTGGGGGCGCAAAGAGACAATCTAGTCACACCTGCATGGACACCAACAGACAAAATTTCCATGTTCCTTTGCTGCCAAAGCAAGAGAAAAATAAGTATTTCTGTTTGGGCAAATGGACTTGAAATACACAGTGAATACAACTCATCGTGGCGTTCTGACGAACATTTGGATGGTGGCTTTCTGGGATCTGATCTGTCTAGGTAAGTCCAATGCCCCATCACTAAAGAGGGTGGAAGTTAAAAAGTGAACATCAGTGCCAGGTGAGCACACGTGGCGGAAAGAGGGAGATGAGGCTCGCGTGGCCTGTTTGGAGAAGACTTTCAAGTCCTTTCACATTGGTGGACTCTCTGGTCTTTATAACAGGACCAGCTCACTCAAAGGGTAGCCGAGATTTGAGGGCGTAGGCAGGTGACCCAGCATTCTGTGGGTCATCATGGGGCCAGGTGGCCAATGGGTGTAAGAACCAGGCACTTGCTTCTTCTCTACTAACTGCTCTGGCCAGGAACACTGATTATTGCTGGTTACTATTCATTCTTCTGCACAGTTTTTCTGCTATCACTAGGAAGGAGCTCTCCTATACCCAGTGTCTTCTAAAGAACACCCTGCAAAATAGTTATAACTGTCTCCACAAAGAAATGCAAGTTTGGAGAAGCTCCCTGCCCCAGATCCCAAGGCGCACAGTAGGGCTGGAACTCCAGTCAGGGGGCTTTAATTCCACAGCCCTGCCTGCCTCTTCCACGTGGTGTGGTTTTGGCGTCTGCTATGGAGCAGCGCCTTCAGGTGCCAACTCGGTGAGCCCAGCACCCCCCTAAAGGAACCCCGCTGTTCCAGGGCAGGGGGCTTATTGCAAACTCCTTAAATAGCCATGAAGTTCTGAGTGTTCTCACTTATCGGGGGGTCACGCTTGGTGAGCAGACACCAGCGTGTCTCGCGATCCCAGAACACTGTCATGTCACAGTAAATAAAAGTGGAGGCGCGAAGTCCCACTTTTCAGTGAGCTGCTCCTCCAACTGTCACTCGCTGGGGTCTGCTGGCTGCAGGCACCCGACATGCTTGTGCCGCAAACTGCCCTGCAGAGTGGATTCATCAACCCCTCACGGCAAGTGAGAAAGAGAAGTTTCAGAGGGGTTCCATGCCCAAAGCCAGATGACACGGTGAGAAAGTGGCAGGACCTGCACGTCAAGCAGGAGACCCAGAGAGAGCCGGGCCCCAATTCTGCGCCTTGCTCCTCCCAGGTGGAGGCTCTGCCCCCAGGGGCCCAAGCTACTGGCCGGGAGGGCACCCCACATGCGAGCCGAGACCTGGCCGCTGAGTGGCCCCACTGCTCCCACAACACTGAGTCCGTCCTGCTCGCGGGAACCCCGCTCTGCACACAGAGGCCAGCTCGTCAGTTCTAAGGGGCCACCAAGGACAGGGCGTGAGGACCAAGCAGTGTGACCTTATAGACCCCGGAGAAACCAACCAACTCCAGCTCCAACGTGAAGGCTTCTGGGGTTTCCAAATGATCTATTAACAGGCTGGAAACAGCCTCGTCTACAGAATCCCTTCTAGGCTGCAGATGTAAGCGAGAGGGCAGGTAGAAGGACATCTGGAGAGAAGCTGCACAAAGCCTCGGACCCCTTTCCAGTCAATCTCCTTATTTCCTCTCCCGTGAGCCTCTATCAGAGCTGCCAGGCTCGCTGCTAGGTGTTCGTACAGCCCCCCCCCCTACCCCCCAGAGGAGGCTGTGGTGAAGCAGCCAGGGCACAGAAACCCTGCCCAGGAGGTGATCTGCTCCCGCGCTAATGATGCTGGATTAATCCCCAGTGAGCTAAATAAGGAGGTGATGGAGCAATACCAAGAAAAGTAGGTCCTTTCAGACAGATTTCAGATCCAGGCCCCAGCCAGCCGGTCCTGCCATGCTGAAAGGAAGGTGCCAGAGTTATTTCTGGATGCCAGACCCCAATCTGCCTTTCCCGCTGGTGCACTCGGCCAGCCCAGATGGGAGCAGGATGGCTGGCGCAGATCTGAAAGGATCAGGGTGAGCAGACACGTTCTAGCATAATTTGAGAAATCGTTTGTTGTTCTGTAGTTAAAAACCTACTTAAAATGTGCGGCACGATGCCCCGTTAGACTGGAACAGTATGAAGTCAGGTCTTCCCAAAGACCAAGCATAAAAAGCATTAAAATAAAGGCAATCGCTGCCTGTTAGAGAAGAGCATTCCTCTGTTGGGGGATCCCCAGGACCCCTCTAGTACCCTGAGATCATGCTTCCTTTGCTGCTTTGTGCCTGCACAACATCGCACGCACAATCTTTAAGATTTCCCAAGGAAGAGACTTCATGCCCACAGAATGCAACATCAAGGACATCGGGGTGGTCTCCCCCTGAGGCTGCAGCAGAAGGCGTGACCCTTATGCACAAAGCACGGCCTAGGAGCCACAGCATGTCCATTAAATCTTTTTAGAGTACCGGAAGAAGGTGGTGTTTACAGAAAGCCCATTGTTAATCTTTTTTGTAAGTAACGGAACCTTTTAAAAAGTGAACAATCATCTGTTTTGTTTTGTTTTTTCTGAAACTTCTTCCGTTGGTATATCCAGTTTGCTGAAAGCAAATTCAATCTGTCTTTCATGACTCAACTGGAAAGACTGTACGGCCACCCAGGGGGGCAGATGCCTTCTTTCTTTTTTCTCTTAAACAGCTACAGAAATGGATTTGCCGCACTAGTGGCAGGGAACTGACATGACTCGGCCAACGAAATGACAGGTCACTCACTTTTCACGGATGGCAGAAAATACAACCCTGGGAGAGGGGACCTGCTATTCTGGGGACGGGAACACGCCCCTGCAGACGCAGACCCTTGGCGCAGGCCGTGCAGGGCAGAGGTGGCCCAGGCCGGGGGGCACCACAAGACGCAGCCCAGGGCTTGGCCTCGCTGCCCGCTGCCCTGGCGACCTTTACTTGGCTCGCGTGGGCTTTACCCTCTTTCCCAAGAACAGGTATTAAAGTGGGGGACTGGCGATTTGGAGAACCTCCAGGAAGGTGAGTGAAATGAAGAGAAGAAAAGAGAGTGGCTCTCTCTGTGTGTGCCCTGGAGGGACCAGCGGGACACGCTTTCCCGCCCCCTTGGAGAGGCGGCTGAGTTGCCCACGTCTCTTCCACAGCACCTTTTGCTCCCGCGCTCACAGAATGACCACGACAGCAAGGAGGGCTCCCCAGGCAGTGTGGGCACAGCGCGGCTTCAGCGAGTGCACCGCCCTGACGCTGAAGTCCACAGAGCAGAGGGGGCTACTCTCAGATCCCCTCCAGCAACCCCACGCCCAGCACAGGGCCTGTGCTCCAGGGGAGTCCTCTGCACCCCATGTGATGGCTCTGAGGACAGAAGAACACGACTTGAACGACAGCGCGCGCTCTCTCTCTCTCTCTATATA